GCACCATGGGGGACAGGAACTCTTGCTGGTGATCACTGCTCCCTTATCCCAGGAGATAGCGGCTGGGTACCCACAAGGTGCCAGGATACTCCATCCAGACCATTTCATCCACATGAGAGTCGGAGCAGGGGAGATGTTTGCAAAGATGCCAAGAGGCCACATTGGTGTTTGCAACACTCAGACATGAACGTGAGATCTCCAAGGGTTGACCCAGGTCACATCCCATCAGTGGGAATCAGTGCCCAACACATATGAATTTGCTCTTTTCAGAGCCATCTAAGGAGGTGCTGGAAACCTCTAATTGCTCCCTCCTGATCTGAGGGGGGTTTTGGAGTTTCAAAGTAGCCTGAATCCTGCCAGACTCCTCTCCAGAAGTAGGACATGCAGATCCCAACATGGGCCAGGGGCAGTCGTGACCAAAGCCACTTCCCTGCTCTCCTCCAATCCAGCAATCTATCATGCCTCTCTCTGTCACCTCCAGGCTCGACATTTCAATACCTTCTGCCTCAGACTGAAACCAAAGGCCAGGCAAAACGTTGGTTTAAACCAGCAATCTCTAGACTGGGACCAGTCAGCAAGAGTTGGGTTCAGTTCGGGTCCAAATGCCAATCCCATCATCCATCACTGCCCCTGAGCTGATACATCAATGAACCTTGCCATGCCATGCCTGAAAGGCAGGGAAGCATTTGCTTTCCAGCTGCAGGAGGGAAAACTTGTGGTCCATGGGTCTTCTTAAGCATTTCTTCACTGAAAAACGTTTCAGTCTAGCTGATCCTGGGCTGGACTTAAGTGACCTCTCCAAACCTCTCCTGTCTCTACTTCTGTGGGGCTATGAAAGGTTTCAATAAGAGCCACCACTCAAGTAGTCTCACTGCAGCCCAGGGCCATGTCTAGCTCTGGTCCCCAAATCTGTATAGCTCGTCCTCTATCCCCGAACAGAAGAGCCTGTCACAACCATATGTCTTACCCCAACCCCACACACAGAGGAACTGGGATTTCTCCCAGGAGATCAATTGAAGAATATCTTTCAACAAGCAAGGCAATCTTGTCTTAGACTCCAAGTGATGGCGATTTCACCCTCAGCACAGTCCAACATTCAGTTATCCTCGCAGCTAGTAACCATGCACCTCATTTCAGGGTAAATGCATCTAACTTCCTCCTTCGGCAGTTCTGTCCGATTATGGCAGGGTTGCAAAGTCCCCATCAGACAAGTGCCTACGCACGGATCAAGTCTCCTTCCAGCCTTCTCCTTGATACACGAGATGAACTGAGAAAGTTAAGCCTCCCACTTTTCAGGCCTTTATTTCTGAGTCACCTTTGAGCTCTCTTCAGTGTTGAATACAAGAAAATACGACCCGGCATTTCACGGGTCGGACCATAGGTCCATCTTGTCCCCTCTTCTGTATCACAGGGGCACAGAGCAGATGCTGAAGGGGAGAGCGAACAGGGGATGACCAGGGTTTTCTACTGCTCCTCTCTCACTTGCAGCCTCCAGCATTTAGGGTCTAGGACAGCAGTTTACAACCTTGGGGTCACACCCCATTTGGGGTCGCAACGATAAAAAACGGGGCTGCAAAGACGCTTGGGAGTGTAGACCGATTATGATGAATACACTTCCTGCTTATCAATATGCAACAGTTAAAATGATTGAAAATGTTTTTAATGAAAAATATAAAGAGCATAAACATTGTAGTGCCATATTTATGACGTGTTGATCTTGTCCGTATCGTTTTGGGGGTCAGAAAAAATGTGCAGTGTTTAAATGGGGTTGTGCTGAGGAAACGGTTGGGAAGCCCTAGTCTAGGAGGTTCTGATTCAGAGGCCATACCCTTAACTCCCATGCTCAATAGCTGATGACGGCCCTTTCCCCCAAGAAAGTCCCTTCTTGAATCTGGTTAAGTTGTCAGCATCCACAACATCTTGTGGCAATGAGCTCCACGCTTTAATTACACCCGGTGTGAAAATGAATAGATTTGAGACTTTTAAGGGTGGTTGTCCCCCTTAGGTTTGATAGGCTGAGGTCTCTGTACTGCAAACCCTGAGTCATGTCTAATTGTTTAGGAGCATGCAGCGATACGCTCACATTAAATTAGGACACTGCAGCCAGAACGGCGTTTTCCCCAAGACAGGGCTGAAACTGCGTGTGATCAGACTGACCGCATCACTGGCCAAAATCCAGACTTGCCAACAAAAAATTCATGCAAGTTGGCAAGGTTACAGGCTTGCGAGTATCAGAGGGCGGCCATCAGCATGGCAATGGCAGCACAGCCCCAGGTGAGATGTTACATGGGGCAGCATGTTCATCTCACACGCCTGGCAGACTGATGGTAAAGGCCATGCTACACCTTCAAATTACAGCCCGATAGAAATCAGCTCTCGAGTTGTGACACATATTCAAGCACTAATTTTATAGCTGCATGGCTCTTTTTATACCCGAATAGCTGTTTTTAATTGATTGATAATTACTTTGTGACTGGTCTAGATTTACTGTGCAATTTAACCAGTTCATTGTGTGAAAATTACTTTGCATTCATAGCCTGCCTTACTTTGCATGTGTGGCTGGTCTAAATTTACGGTGCAATTAAACCAGTTAAATTGTGTGATATATATAACTTGTAGCAGGAGCCTCCAACACAGATGTGGCATTTGAGTCAGCTCTGACAGACCCAAGTCAAAAACGTAGGCGTGAAACAGCACTTTGCACACGCAGCTTTTTCCTGGAATGAATGGCAATTAACTCAAATTAGCCTCAACTGGCCCAGGAAAAAGTTACCTTGGATGCTTCACAATTGGGACAATGGGTTTGTACAGTCTGTAGGATCCCAGATTAAAAGGCTTTGTCCTGGAAGACATCCCACACCTGTTTTTACCCACAGCTGCACAGGCAACACTTTGTAGTGCGCAACAGCCTAGGTCTGCCACTGCTATAAGCCTTTGGAAACAGGGACTTGTAATGGAAACTGCTGCACAAACTTCACTCCAGGCATCTTTGCCATCGCTAACCAAATAGCAAAGTGCACAAGAACTCATTTCTTTTGCCACCCCTTGCCCACAGACTCCTCTCTCACCAAGATGCTCTGGGCGTTCAGGTAAATGGAGACCATTTATTGAAGCCACCACGGGGTGGCAGCTGAACTGCACGACCGCGAGACAGCAGGATTGGGTGGATGCAAAAACCTTCCACTGCTTTCATGTAGCGCAGCGTCCAGGAGAAAGGATGGGGCCAGGCCTCTAAGATGCGTGGAAACCCACTAGATGTTTTCAGCCCTTTTTGTGCAATAGCGGAGCAGTCCTCAACGTTGCTGGTAGTGGGAAGGTGGGACCAAACCCTGTCGTGGGATATTACATAGCATCTTCACCTGAGATCTGACAGCTGCTGCCGCCATGATGCTTTAGTTTGATTGTTTGTAGGTGTAATCCAGTGCAATCCAGCGCACTCATGTTACCTTATTGTAAAGCCAAACTCCAGAAAAGGGGCGAGTCTGGATACATTAGGGACCAGGTCATAGGTGGCCCGGCCTAACGGTTAGGCCAGAGAGGAGGCAAGGGCCAGGGGCTGGGTCAAAGCCAAATTACCAGGTCCAAAGGGAAATCCAGGGGCAGAGTCCAAAACAGGTCAGGGTCACAGGCCAAGAATCAGATGCTAAGGTACCAAGTCCAAGGGATAATCTGCAAGCCAAGGTCCACAACCAGAGCTGAGCAGGATCAGGAAACAGATCCCTGAGGAAATTCAAAGGTAGAGGTTTTGACATCCTCTGAAATAATGAGTGTGACCTGGACTGCAGCAACAGTAGACGAGGGTTGTAGCATCCAGAGTATGCGTGCCAGGGCCAGCAGCAGGTGTGACCTGCCCAATTCGCCTCCCCTGGACATTAGTGCTGATCTCTAGCAGGTTAAATGCTCTGAGAAACACCCACCTGATATCTGTCACCTGGAGGGATTTGACTGACTTGAAATGGGAGAATGAGCAAGGCTAGGGATGCTGGAATATGCTGGGTTTGAATGCCTAAGGGGAAAACAAAAGGCTGAAAAAGAAGTAACCCTGTTTGTGTTACAAATTAATTTATCCTTAAAATAAAAAGCCAACCCCCACCTCCACATAGTGATTCTGGAGACTGTGCTGCAGAATTTGCAGTGTCCAGCAGCTTCCTTCCTCTTTGTCTGGCGATGAGGGGGGATAATTTGGCTGAACTGGCCCGTGCTTTGTTTTGTCCTTGATGAAGTATTCACCCACACGAATGCTGTGTGCGTGGAAAAAAACAATACTACAATACAGACTGCTTTCCCCTGATGCTCAAATGACTGAAATTCAGTCACCAAGAAAGAGGCAGAAGTTGGTCCTAGCAGTCACTCCTCACTAAAACAGCTTGCGTTGTATGTGAAAGGAGAAACATAGTTAGAAAAACCAGTTATGACTGCGTGTAATGCAAGTGCCCAGTGAATTCAAATGCCATAAACAAGCACCTTTCCCACCTTGTTCCAAATATGACTTTTCCAATCCAATGGTGTCCTAGGTTTATGCTTCATTAACAAAGACATTAATAATAATACCGTCAAGCTCATTACAAACCTTCCTTGGCTCCAAGGCTGACCCTAAGGGTCAGAAAGACGGCTTATGCCTGACAAGGTCCTCTTCAGAGATCTGCTCCTGCCTCCTTTATATCTGGGGAGTTATGAGCAGAGATCCTGGTTTTCTGATAAAAAAAAAAAACCCCAATTTTCAGATTAAAAAAGCAACCCCAAATCCATCTTTTTCATGATTAAAAGGAAACACCACTATATATATCTCTATACATTAGAGATATCAGAGCCCATCCCCTAAAGTGCCTCAGCCATCCTGTGCCTTACCACACTAGCACCCAAACACACCCCAAGGGCATTGGGCCTGCCATCTTCCCCGGAAAGGAGCAAGGCCCTCCCCAGCGCCCCGTAACAGCTCAAGGCATGGCTGTTGAACACAGCATCCATCCAGACCACACGCAGTGAAGACCAAGAACCAGAACCTCCTCTTTTTTTTATTTTTTTCCAGCAATGGTACATGTTTCGCAGAAGATGGAGGAAATGCAAATCAGTAAGAGTCTGATCACAAAAAATCAATTTCAAAGGCACACAGCTCCACTCTTTTTCGAATTACACGCTAAGCACGGAGGAAGAGACGGGTATAAAGAGGGCATGACCGATACCTTCAACATGCCTAAAAGCCTGAAGTAGAAGGAAAAGAGGCAGGGACTGAAGATAAGGAATTTAAAAGAAGCAATGCCGCTCTGATCACCACACCTGCCACCCAAGAGGCGTGCTGAGTGGAGATGCATTCAGCTTTGCTGGCAGAATGGGCGTTCCCAGCAAAGCTCTGTAGTGTCTGTAGATATGTCGCTCCCTATCCATGTGCCACGAGAGAGTACAGCTCTGTTACCCCAATCCTCCACTTCCCTCGCAAACATCTCCGTGTCTCTTCCACTTGCCTTTAAATCCCTGATCCCATATGCTGTTCTGTGCAGGGGGGCACTGACCCAGGCAGAGCAGCAGGAGGACTGGATGTTTGTCAGCTCCTCAGGACAGAAATCAGACTTTGCTGATTTTGGCCATAAGCATCCATTCTCTGTCTCTGTTTGTCACAAAGGACAGAATAAGTCTTCCCCACCCCTATCATGCTGCTGGGAGGTTCAGTTCGTATTCGCAAAGCCCCCAGAGACCCTCAGATGAAAGATGCTATGAAAACTGCAGCTCCCCTGTGACGCAGATATTCACACCCATTGCACGAAGGCTTCTGGAAAGTAGGTGTTTTACAGGCAACTAAGCAGCAGAAAACTCAGCACTGGGGAGAGAAGCAAAGAGGGCGAACGTTCAGCTTTCGTAGAAGTCTATGTGCACCCCGGAGGTGAACGTGTCATCCAGCAGAAGGGTCACTAACTTCTGGGCGGACACGCTGCAGTCCAGCAGCTGCCCGCTCTCCTTATGGTCAAGGAAGAACTGGCGCAATTCAGCATCTCCCGTCTGGGTGCGAGCCAGCTCCTGCATGTCTGTATCCAGAGGACCTACAGGAGGCAAGGAAAGAGTTGTGTGACACGTGGAGGGCTGGACCTGTCAATCATTGGGATAGTCTGTACCTGGTTAGCTGGGGCATCTCGAATACGGGGGAAATAGAGGTAACGTCACTGAGCCAAATCCACATTTCTCCTGCATTCGCAACACCCAATGGCTCTGATTCTCCACCACTTTGCCTTGGTGTAAGCGCCCGGCACTAGCACTCAGACCCAGGGGCTCTGCGGAGGACACAAGAAGGGCAAAGCTTACCTGGGGCATAGTTGAGAACTCGAACGTCTGGCTCTTCAAGTGCCAGGACCTGGAACATCATGTCTCGCGAGGCCTTTCCAGTGCAATACAACGTCCAGCTCTTGAAGGGCTTCAGGGCACACAACGAAGAGATGTTAACGACTGTTCTGTGCAAACCGGGGCGTTTTCCAAAGGCCTTGAGGATAGAGGAAGTGAGGCAAAGTGCTGAGGTGACATTGAAGGCCAAGTAGCTGTTGACTTCGTCCGGGCTGGTAAAATCCACAAAGAATTTGGAAACGTCTCCAAGAGACCCTGGAAATGGGGAAGAACATTAGCACAGGTGACATTTGCACAGCATTTGATACCCGCAGAGTATGGAAAAGAGTTCAACTAAATCCACTCTACCATAGTCCTGTAAGGTGCTTTTAATTTGTATGGAGGAAGGAAATGAGGCAAGTTATGTGATGTTACCTTGTAGACTTGTTCGATATCATACAGAAGCCTTGTCTATAGTAGGGATTTGTCCCAGTCATAGGCATTAAGGTACCTGCACCATGAGCAGAGCAGGAGCTTGAGGAATTTGCATAAGGAATGATATGATATCGTTGTCTGTAATAGCAAGGGACTGGAAAGAACAACCTAGGATGCCCCCTCGAATCCTACCACCCACCCACCAATGCAAAGTCCCAGCTGAGGCCAGCAAAGCTGCTATTTGAACTGTTGCCACTTATCTTAGTCGTAAGAAAACAGCAAGAATTATTCTTTGCTATGGCTTTGCCCCAAGGCAGCTATGTTGGTGGAGGGCAGCTGCTGGCCCTAATGTGAAGGAAATGGCCAGGCTCCATGGCACAGTCAAGAAGCAGACTCAGAAGTTCATGTCCAGTCCCGCATTCAGTCTACATTGTCTAGAGACCAGCAGTGGTATCTCTCTTCCTCTCAATCACCCTTCTCATTCTGGCAGCCGGATCATTTGCAGTGCTCCCCTCAGAGCTTGCCACTAAGGTGCCCAGAGATAAAATTAATGCAGGCGTCTTTCTGAAATGAGGTCGTTCCTATCAATTTAATGCCAGCTAACAGTGCAAGATCTGATCACAGCCCCTCCTTACTGCTATGACAGCACTAATGAAGAGATCCATGGATTTACTCAGTTCCTCTGGTTAATGCAGGCTAGAGCTGAGTCCAGACTCATTACTTCAGGAGTAACAGGGAAGCTTCAAAGCTCACTTATGTCAGCAGGGATCTTTCCCCTGATTTAATAGGCTTTAAATGGGCCTTACAGGGCTTTTATGTTGGATTCTGGTCTCTGCAGTCTTTTCAAAGCCCAGGTGTATAAGCAACTTCCAGTGACCCTCAGCAGGCACCAGTGGTGTGGCAGGGAAGAGACTGTGGTCCTACAAACAGACCCCTCTGCATCCACCTACCTGGGTGAAGGGAGAAGGACTAGACTGGGGTCTCTGTATCCAGACTCTTGGTTCCCTAGGAACAGGTGGCCAGCTGCCAGGATATTTATTTTCACTCTCTCAGAACCACACACACACACACGTACATACATACGTACACACACACACACACACACACACATATACACGTGTGCACATGTACACACACACACATACGTGTACATATACATACATGGTTTTCAAGTGACACCTTGTAACCTCACGGGTGCTAAAACATTAAAATCATCTCTCTCTCTCATATATAAGCATAACTATATATATACACATACATACATATACATGGTTATGCTTGCATACGTGTGTGTGTGTATGAGAGAGAGAGAGATGATCTTAATGTTTTAGTACCCCTGAGGTTACAAGGTGTCACTTGACAACTCTCTCCATATATCTACCCTCTTTCATATTAATGTGTCTATAGTTTATATATATATATACACACACACACACACACACACACATACATATATACACATACACACACACACATATATATACACATACACACACACATATTTATTCTACTACCCGGAGTAGGACTATTGAAGGACACTTGCTCGTTAAGCAGGAGCCTATTTAGTACAGCTCACACATTTCTGCTGGGATTACAGCCTCATTGTGCACTGTTAGTTTCACTTCTGAATTTGGAGCGTTTCCGTGTCACTTAGTAAACTGAAAGGGGGAAAAAACCACTCTCCCCACTGTCTTACCGACAGAGAGAGCAAATACAGCTTATACCAATATAGAGGAAAAAGAATATAAAACACAAGTGTGATCTTTATGTTTTAGTAACCCCGTGGTTACAAGGTGTCACTTGAAAACTCTGCATGTCCTCCTTCATATTAATGTTATAAGTGTTTTTCAACTTTGTTGGGCCGGCCATGTCATCCGGATGTCTGACTCCAGACTCCCAAAGCAAGTTTTATTCTCCCAGCTCAGCCAAGGCGTATGCTCAAGAAGACGGCAGAGAAAATGCTTCAAGGATGTCCTCAAGGCCACCTTAAAACAAAACTGCAACACTGATGTCAGCTCGGACCGCCCCAAATGCAGGAAGTGTGCTGCAGAGATCTCAGTACTTTGAAACCTCAAAACAAGAGCAGGAGATGGGAAAGCAGGAGGCAGAAACAGCGCGTCACGGTCCGAACCGGGAATCCAGCACCACCCACCCCACACGTCCGAGCTGCAGCAGAGCCTGTCAATCCCAGGTAGGCCTCATCAGTCATCTTCGGACACACAGACAAGACTATCGTGGAAAATGACCATCCTCAACTACAAGGGATTGCTAAAGAAGAGTTTTTCATTGATCTATTTGGCTTTGAATTGAAAGCCTTTTTTTTTCTGGCACAGTCATGTGTCACTCTGTGGCCTAACCCACCCTGACTTGAGGTACAAATGTTAGAGGAAGGAACAGATGTTGTATCTGCTCGAAGGGACTGCAATCTGTGAGCAAGCAGAGCGTTACGGTTAACCAATCTTTCTAGTGCATAAACCACCCGTTGCTTCTGTTGCAAAAACTACCACCCTTTTTTCACCTTTACTTCTTGTCATCCTGCGATTATCTGAACTGCAACAGGACTAAGAGGCCCCAATCAGCCCTACTGTGCAAAGTGCTGGACAAACCAATTAAACCACAACACACCTACCCCAAGCAGCTTACAGTCTAAAGTCCAGATCTTCCACTGAAGTCGTCACAAACAAACTCCCAGACAAAAAACAGTCTGTTTGTATAATGGCACACATTAACAGGGATACAGGCCATATTTGTGGTCAGGAAGGGATTTTACCCCAGGTCAGATCGGTAGGGACTCAGGGGATTGCCTTCCTCTGTAGCAGGGGCCAGGCCCCTACATGGGATCTCTGCAGGGTGTGCTAACAACCTTTTATAGAAACAGGATGTCAGCTGCCACGGCTCCCCTGCTTTTCCTACACCAGATTAGGGGTATTAGGTCTCTTATGTCAGGGCTGACGGTTAAGGAGTTTAGATTACGGTTTGTATAGGATAGTTGGGCTTCCAGTGCAGCGATTCTTTGCCTCTATTCGGCACTGGGGAGTCCTGTGTCCAGCTGTGGCCTCCCGCTACAGAAAGGATGTGGACACGTTGGAGAGAGTCCAGCGGAGGGCAATGAAAATGGTTGTGGGGCTGGGGGACAGGACTGGTGAGGAGAGGCTGAGGGAAATGGGCTGATTTAGTCTGCAGAAGGGAAGACCGAGGGGGGATTTGATAGCAGCCTTCACCTCCCTGCAGGGGGGCTGCAAAGAGGATGGAGCTGGTCTGTTCTTTGTGGGGGCAGATGACGGGACAAGGAGCAAAGGGCTCAAGCTGCAGCAAGGGAAGTTGAGGTTGGATATTAGGGAAAACTCTCCCCTGAGGAGGGTGGTGACGCACTGGAGCAAGTTACCCAGAGAGGTGATGCAGTCTCCATCCTTGGAGGTTTTTAGGCCCCAACTAGACAAAGCCTTGGCTGGGATGACGTGGTTGGGGCTGGTCCTGCTGGGAGCAGGGGGCTGCACTAGATGTGACCCCCTGAGCTCCTTCCCCTGTCCGTGATTGTGGGACAAGGTTGGTCCTGCCTCAGGCAGGGGCCAGCCTGGACGTGCGGCCTGAAGACCCCCACTAGGACCCCCCGCCCGCCCCGGGGCCAAGGGGTTACCCGCGTTGTTGATGAGGAGCAGCCGCTCCAGCCCAGCCTCCCCCGGCAGGTCCCGCACGGCGTCCCGCACCCGCTGCAGCCCGGCGGCCGTGCCCAGGTCGGCCGGCACGCACTTCGCCCGCA